TATTTCAGATATCCGTTTATATGTTTCAGATATTAGTTGATAATTTGTTTAGATAAAAAGGCAAATTTTTCTTTAACTGTGCACAAAAGAGAGTGGTTTTTGAGAAACAAATTTTCTGGTTTGAAAGATCAAAAATTAGCTAAGACAACAACCAGATGATGATCAGCATATATTTCAGATATCCATTGATACCTAACTTTAAACTTACTCCAACTTTGGCAAAATTAAAACTTAATTAATCACTTCTCTATTATTTATCAGTTTCTCACTTTTCTAACCATCTCTGTGTCAGTCGTGTCTCTACCTTTTTATATTGCTAACTTTTGCCAACATGCAACCCGAACAATTGACCAACAATCATGTATGTATGATTTGTTGTTTGAACATGACTTGTTGGAATTGTTGTTATTTTTTTATTTTTTAATCTTCATATGATAATTTTCGCACATGATACGAATACTAATGATATTGTCAATATTTATTGATTGACATTCAATAGTCGTTTGCATGCATATTTGTACTATATGATGGTTTCAGAATAATTTAGCTGCAAGAGGGAGATCTATAAACCATATTTTTCAGTATTGTTCAGTTTTTTTTTTCTTGTCTTTATCAATCCATTATAATATTGATTAGACGACGGGGCTTTTAAATAAATATTGTAACAACTAGACGAGTTGCTTCTTTATGGAAAGTATTAAGTTTACATTTAGGTTTTTTTTACGTTTCATTATCCTTTTTTTCGTGTCCAAGTTGTAGTTTATGAACTTGATCTAAATTACTTTTAAATTACTACTAAAAATAGTTTTTTAATCAATAACGCAAAAATCACAAAACATCTGGAGGTGATCGAGATATATATTTCTAGAAAGAGAGCATAAAAAGGGCAAATGCTCAGCTAAGGCAAGAACCAGATGATGATCATTGTTACGGCATTAGACATGCTAAAAATCCTTAGATCCATTTCAAATAGAAAATTTTCAATGCAAAAAATGTTTCTCTATCGATGGTTATAGGCCTTACAGATCTCTTCAATCATTCTCTTTTAAAATATCATCAAAATTTTCTTTAAATAGTTAATTTTTTCGCCGTGTACTTAACTTCACTTGCGATACATATGCTAAATTAACTAAAAATTGTTTTTTTTTTAAATCAATAACGCAAATATCATAAAACATCTAGAGGTGATCGAGATATATATTTCTAGAAAGAGAGTATGAAAAGGGCAAATGCTTAGCTAAGACAAGAACCAGATGATGATCATTGCTACGGCATTCGACATGTTAAAAAAACCTTACATCCATTTCAAATAGAAGATTTTCAATGCAAAAAATCTTTCTCTACAGATGGTGATAGGCCTTACAGATCTCTTTCTTTTAAAATATCATCTAAATTTCCTTTAAATAGTTAATTTTTTCTCCGTGTACTTAACTACACTTGCTTAATGTCACATATTTTACAAACTTATATTTTGTTCATATTTTTTGCCTTTCCTACATGTTTGACATGATTCATTAACATTTCAGAGTCTCAGTTTCATTGCTGCATGTCTTTCAGTTGATTTTCTTTACAACAAAGTGCTCTGAAGATGATGATAATTTTATCGCAACACGGGTGACAACATATTCTGTGTCCATTTATTTATATTTTTTCTCTCTAGTAATTATAAACACTAATCTAATGTATTGTACATATAGTAAATCTTGGTAGCTTGGGAACAAAAACTTTAAACTAGTTTTCTTGTGATTTCTTAAAGCTTTAACCGGCCGGCCGGTCGTTCGGTCGCAAAATGTACGCCCTCGTTTGTTTGACTTTAATTTATGCCTCAATAGATTGTAGACAAGAACCAGGCAGGCGGTGATCAATGCAACTGTATATAAGCAAACAATGTTGATAATCAGTAGGTAAAGTTGGTCGTTCGGTTGTATGATCAGTTGTTTGCTTGGTTTGTTGGATTTACAGGGGGAAAAAAGTCTATATTTAAAGCGATTAATATATTTTTGCTGGTTGTCCGTTTGTCAGTTCTTATGTTGCTCACTTCAGCTGCTGCTGCTGTTAGTTGTGCTAAAACCTCAGCTTTAACCGCAAGAAGATATTTTGTTGCACTTACAAAGCCAGTCGTCTAAGGCATCTGTAAAAGTGGACAACATTGAAATGTTTAAAATGCAAACAAAAAGTAATACATTTTTATTTAAGTATTTATTATATTTTACTACCTTCAGGGGTAAATGTTGCAGTTGTTGTAGTTACATGTACAATGTTTATAAACTTAAACCAGCATCAAACATATAACATGTGGTGCAAAAGTTTATTTAGATTACACAGAACTAAAAAAAATCTTTTCCTAAATTTCTTGCAAGAAAATTCATTAGAAATTTTATTAAAAAAATCTATACGAAATTTATTAATTTGTATTAAATTTTATCCGAATTTTTTTTAAACTTGAAAATTTATACGAAATTTTATTTAAAGAGAAAATTTATTTATTCGAAATTTATTTATTTGTATCCAATTTTATCTGAAATTTAACAAAATTTAAGCGAAATTTTTTTTAGAAAAGAAAATTTATTTGAAATTTTCTTTAAAATTAAAATTTATCTGAAATGTCTTAATTTGTATTCAATTTTATCCGAAATTTTTTTAAACAAAAAAATTTATCCGAAATTTTATTAGAAAATAAAATTTATTTATACAAAATTTTCTTTAAAAAGAAAATTTATCCGAAATTTATTTATTTGTATCGAATTTTATAAAAAATTCTGAAATATTTAAATTTATCCCAAATTGTATTTGAAAGGTAAATTATTTTTATTTTTTTGCAGAAATTTTATACGAAACATTCTTTTAATAGAAAATTTTTACAAAAATTTCATTAGAATTGAAATTTAACTAAAATATTCCATAAAAAATTAAACCAAAAATTTTATTTAGAAATAAAATTCTCCGAAATTTTTTTTAAAAATAATATTTATCCGATTTTTTTTCAAAAGAAAATTTATCCAAAATTTTCTGTAAAAAAAAATTATACAAATTTTTTTTAAAATTGAAATTTATCCAAAATTTTCTAAAAATGAAAATTTATTCGAAATAAATAATAAATAATAATAAAAAATAAATAATACAAAATTCTATAAAATATAAATTTTTTCGAATTTTTTTATTAAAATAAATTTATCAGAAATTTTCTTTAAATATAAAATTTATCCGAATTTTTTTTTTAATTTAATTTATTTTCAACTAGACTATAGATGGAAGGTTCCAAGTCCGCCCATTTTCCCAAAAATGTTCATAAGAATATTAAAGTTCATCGCGCAAAATTTGAAGAATCTAATCCTATTAGTTTCCCAGATAAACGAATTTTTGTATTTAATTCATATGGGAGGTACCGCGTTCCCCCATTGGTAGTACGCCAATTTATTACCCAACATGTATACAGGGATGTTAAAGTTCTTCGTGCCAAATTTAAAGATTCTAACAAATAGTTTTCCAGATAAACGAATTTTTGTATTTATTTGAATATGGGAGGTGGCTGCTATTCCGCCCACTTTTTATCCTAAATAATCATATAAACACTAAAGTGACGCCGACAAAATTTGAGGACTCTAACTGTTAATCTTCTAAGATACACTGATTTAATATTTTATTAATATGGAAGGTGCCACGCCCACTATAGCCATTCCGCCAATTTTGTCCACAGAATTTTTTTTTTTAAATTTATTTATTTAAATTTTAGAAAACTTCAAAGTTTTTTAACAATTTTTTTAACAAAAATTTATTCGAAATTTTTTTAAAAAGAACATTTATTTGTAAATAAAAATTATAAAAAAATTTCTATAAAAAGAATTTATCCGAAATTTTCTATAAAAAGATAATTTATTTCAAGTTTCAATTATATAGAAATTAATATGAAATTTTATTTAAAAATAAAATTTATACAAAATTTTATTAAAAAGTAAAATTTATTCGAAATTTTCAATAAGAAATATAAAAATTTTTCTTTAAAAAGAAAATTTTTCGTAATTTTGTTAAAAAAAGAATTTATACAAAATTTTATTTAAAAATTAAATTCTTTGTAATTTTGAATAAAAAGGGGAAAAATTTTCCATAAAAAGAAAATTTATCCGAAATTTACTATAAAAATAAAATTTACTCTAGATTTCCTTTAGAATGAAAATTTATCTAATGTTTTCGTTAATTAAAATTTTAAATTTTCTATAAAACGAAAATTTATCCATACTTTTCTTTAAAAAATAAAATTTATCCGACATTTTTTTTATAAAAATTTCATGAAAAAGAAAGTTTATCTGAAATTTTCTTTAAAAATAAAATTTATTCAAAATTTAATTTAAAAAGAATTTTATCTGAAATTTTCTTTAAAGAAGAAGAACATTTATTGAAAATTTTCTATAAAAAGAAAATTTTACTTTTCTTTAAAAAAATTCTTTAAAAAGAAAGTCTATCCGAACTTTATTCGAAATTTTCTTTTAGAGAAAATTTATCCAAAATCATATATTAAAGAAAAATTTTGAAAAAAATTTTTCGTAAAAAGCAAATGTATACGATATTTTTTTTAAAAAGGAAATTTATTCCATATTTAAAAAAAAATTATCCAAAATTTTTAATAAACGGAAAGTTTACATGACATTTTTTAAAAAAGATAATCCAAATTTTTCAATAAATCAAACTTTTTTATAACTCCCAATAATGTTGAAAATTTCCGGGAATTTATCAGAAATTTTCAATAAAAAGAACATTTTTTTGAAAATTTCTTTCAACAATTTTTTCGAAATTTTCTATAAAATAAAGTTTATCCGAAGTTTTCCATAAAATCCATATCTATCCCAAAATTTTTCGTAAATACATAATTTATACAAAATATTTTATGAAGAAAAAAGCTCAATCCGAAAATTTCTATAAAACGAAAATATAAGGAAAATTCCCGGTAATTGCCCGGTAATAAAAACCCTAATCTTAAAACACACATATATGTATGTACTTACAAATATTTCACACCTTTTTCGCCCACTGTCTTCTTTTTACAAAATTGTTAAAAATAATATCATTGAACTTTGTTGAAGTGTGCCATAAATTGTATGATATTGTGTTATTAGACAAAAAAATAAAACGGGAATTTTTTTGAAATAATTTTCTCTCTCATGCCAGAAGTCCAGCCAGGTCTGTTAATATGAGGGCTTGATACGTTTTTTCCGGTTCTTTATTATTTTAACTAACAAGCCAGCCACTAACCAACCAACATTTGTTTCAATCAACTAAAAACATGAAAGAAAAAACAATTTAAACAAATGGACAAACGTATAAACAAATAAACAAAGGCCAACAGATAAAAACGAGTCAACAAGTCAGACAAGCAGACTAGCTACTGGTACTACTACTAGCAGCAGCATCAGACTTCCTTAAACTTTAACTGCTGCTATGGCAGTGAAATGTTTAAAACTAAATGTATTTGTAGCGTAAATTTAATGACTTGGCCTGGCCTATAGTTATTAAGAGACAAACTTTTCAATTAATACAACAATAATGCAATAGATACAGTTGTATTTTTTTTAACTTTTATTTATTTAATTTTTTTGTGTGAGTGTATTTAAACGCTTGATTGCGTTTTTTTTATTCTATTGATTGTCTTTGTATGTTGTTGATTTTGTATCTAAATTATTAGTTGTTGTTAATGTTGCTACGTCAGATACTGGTTTCTATATCATTTTATATACTTTTTTGCAATTCATGCTGAACCATCATCACTTCTAATATTCTTTGTATGTTTTTTTTTTTGTATTTCTGAATAATTTTCAACATTAATTGTTACCACTACAGTCACAACAGTTGTTTTAATAATATTTTTTGTTTTTGTTGTTATTTGACTGATCAGTACCAGTATTGGAGTGTCTAATATACATACGAACACGAACACCAACCATACAAGTGAAATTTTTATGGACTCTACTCGTACATATGTTTTTTATTTTGGAATTTTAGTCATTAGCATGCGACAAACACAAAATAAGCTAAAGAGGATTGAATTGCTATAGTAGGTGATAACGAATTTAGAGGAACACTACTTGGTTGAGTCAATTAAGAGCTTGAACCTCTCCCTTAAACAAATAGTTAAAGGGGGAGTTTTATGTCCTCTTATAGTAATAGTATTGAAAATTGTCTAATAGTAGGATAATTAGGGGTCTTTTATAGATTTTTCTCTATCAGAAATCTAGAATAGTTTTGAAGTGATTTTGCCAATCTTACTTTATAAAATTAATCACAAAATCTGAAAGCCAATATTTATATTTGGGCCAGCTAAAAAGATTTTTTTTTGCAAACTTAATGCCAAACCGATTAAGTATACACTCCTTTATTTCCAGCTGCATACAAATTAAGTAAACATACTTAATATATGTTAAATATGTACTGGTTTGTTTATAGCTTTAAGAGAATGAAATCATCAGTTCAAGACCCCAGTTCAAAAAGATTTGTTTAATAACACAGGGCAAATGAATTTTAAAAAAAAGTCGAAACCCAGAGACCAGGATATATTTTTCTAAATCTGTGCTAAACTCGAATCTGTCCTCAAAAACATTAGGTTTTCGAGATATAGTGTATTAAAATTTGAGCATATTTGAGACGTTATAGCAGCCCAAAAACGTATTTGTTTAAAGAAAGTCCAATCTGCCGATCACTGTTATATCTTTCTCCTTTTTCGAGATATGTTTACTTAAAGCTTGAATTAATTGAAGGGCTTGCTAAAGTAATATGTTAAGCCAATCGATATCGGCATGGTAAGCCACTAGATATCAGCATACCGATATCGGTGTTGCCTTAATTATGCGAGAAAAACTTCTACGGATAATATATCAGGGAATACAAAAGATTTTTAAAGCAAAATAAAGTCGAAGTGCAGATAAAATATAGTTTTAATAAATTTACTATTGTCTCAAGCTTTAGGTCAAGATATCTCGAAGTTGTAAGCAGTTATAACAGAGATTAAATCTTTATTTTAAAGTCGACAGATTGGTCTCTCAGATGATATAAAGTAATTTACAAAAAATATGTTTTTACCTCTGTTAAGACTTCTCAAAAACATATTGTCAAAAACGAGGGTTTTTCAACTATAAGTCCACAAAAGTTTTCAGATAATTCTATGAAAACTGGACATATAAGAACCATTTCCATTTTGACACATCATAATCTTACTAAATTCCAATTGCAAAAGAAGATAGATAACACAGAACAACAAAATTTGGAAAAAATTCGAAATCCTGGGATCAAAATATTCATTCAAATCGAAGAAGATATAGCAGAGGTTAAACCAATATCTGAAAGCCGACAAACTGGACTTTCAGATGACAAAACTATATGGACAAAACGGGTTTTGCTTTCAAACTTTATGATACAATATCTTGAAAAACTCGAGCTGCTCGAAATTTTAAGAAAATCCTCGAAATCCTGAGACCAAAATATTCATTCAAAACTAAGAAGATATGTATAGCAGAGGTTAAGACAATATTTTAAAGCCAACAAACTGGACTTTCAGATGACATAACAATATGATCAAAACGGGTTTTGCTTTCAAACTTTATGACACGATATCTTGAAAAACTCGAGCTGCTCGAAATTTTAAAAAAAATCCTCGAAATCCTGAGACCAAAATCTTCATTAAAAACTAAGAAGATATCTATAGCAAGGTTAAGCCAATATTTTAAAGCCGACAAACTGTACTTTCAGATGACATAACAATATGGTCAAAACGGATTTTGCTTTCAAACTTTATGACATGATATCTTGAAAAACTCAAGCTGCTCGAAATTTTAAAAAAATCCTCGAAATCCTGAGACCAAAATATTCATTAAAAACTAATAAGATATATTTTTTGTCAACATCCAAATATTGATCGCGGATCCTAGATAATAAGATGTTTTAATATTAGACAGAAAGCTTTAAGACTTTTGAACTCAAAAGTTTTGAGCTCAAAAGTTTTAAATACTTTTAAATATCTGTTTGCCAAAAGAAGTATGTTTGTTTAAATACATAAGTATGTATTATGCATACACACATATGTACATATGTTTTTAAATGTTTTTTTTATTTCGATTCGATTAGAAAAAAATATCTATTTGCTGCCTTATCTATTATACTTCATAAAAAAACAAGAGACTCTAAAGCTTTTTTCTATTAAAATAATATAAAATTTTTTTAGCACACTAGCGATTTAATTAAGAGTACAACTATACATACTAGCTGAATATCAAATGAATATTCTAAAATATTAAATTCCATTAAATGGCCGAAATTGGGTTTCGAATAAAAAAAAAGAAACTTAATTTATTAAATAAACAAATCAATTGTTTTGCCTTAAAAACGTGGGTTGAGCGACAAGTGTAAGAGTCTTACATAAAAATACAAATTATTAATTTAAATTAATAAAATAATAATTGTATTTACTTTATCGTGTTTTACACAAAAAGTATTAATTTTTTTTTTGTTAATTAGCAATTAAAAACTAATTAGTTTTGTATTTAATAATTCATGCAGGCTTTATCTAAGCTTTGTGTATTTTTGTTATACATACACAATTTTTATTGCGTTTTTTTTTTTAGATTTTATTATTGAATAAAATTTTTGTAATTACATTACGTATTTATGAGTCTGTTTAAACCAAAATTTGTCAATAGACAATGGTATTTTATTGTGTACTTTTGCTCAGGCTTTTGACTGATATGGTACAGAATTTTATTATGTCTTTATTTAACACAAAAAGTAATTATTTATTTTTGAATTGTGCTGATTTGAGTGAAAGAATTGTTAACACTTATTTGTTGATTTTTTGGCAACGCTTTGTTTTGTTTGATCAAGTGTTGGATTTAAGTGCTTTTGCGATTAAAATCGAAAAATTAATTATTATGGAACAAGCATGGAAAATTTACTAGTACTAAATTATAAAAAAATGAGTAATTTTCCACTATTTTCAACTAGACTATAGACTAGACTGTAGATATAGACTAGACTATAGACTAGAATATAGACTAGACTATAGACTAGAATATAGACTAGACTATAGACTAGACTGTAGATATAGACTAGACTATAGACTAGACTATAGACTAGACTATAGACTAGACTATAGACTAGACTATAGACTAGACTATAGACTAGACTATAGACTAGACTATAGACTAGACTATAGACTAGACTATAGACTAGACTATAGACTAGACTATAGACTAGACTATAGACTAGACTATAGACTAGACTATAGACTAGACTATAGACTAGACTATAGACTAGACTATAGACTAGACTATAGACTAGACTATAGACTAGACTATAGACTAGACTATAGACTAGACTATAGACTAGACTATAGACTAGACTATAGACTAGACTATAGACTAGACTATAGACTAGACTATAGACTAGACTATAGACTAGACTATAGACTAGACTATAGACTAGACTATAGACTAGACTATAGACTAGACTATAGACTAGACTATAGACTAGACTATAGACTAGACTATAGACTAGACTATATAGACTAGACTATAGACTAGACTATAGACTAGACTATAGACTAGACTATAGACTAGACTATAGACTAGACTATAGACTAGACTATAGACTAGACTATAGACTAGACTATAGACTAGACTATAGACTAGACTATAGACTAGACTATAGACTAGACTATAGACTAGACTATAGACTAGACTATAGACTAGACTATAGACTAGACTATAGACTAGACTATAGACTAGACTATAGACTAGACTATAGACTAGACTATAGACTAGACTATAGACTAGACTATAGACTAGACTATAGACTAGACTATAGACTAGACTATAGACTAGACTATAGACTAGACTATAGACTAGACTATAGACTAGACTATAGACTAGACTATAGACTAGACTATAGACTAGACTATAGACTAGACTATAGACTAGACTATAGACTAGACTATAGACTAGACTATAGACTAGACTATAGACTAGACTATAGACTAGACTATAGACTAGACTATAGCTAGTCTAGACTAGTCTATAGTCTAGTCTATAGTCTAGTCTATAGTCTAGTCTATAGTCTAGTCTATAGTCTAGTCTATAGTCTAGTCTATAGTCTAGTCTATATCTAGCTATAGTCTAGTATATAGTCTAGTCTATAGTCTAGTCTATAGTCTAGTCTATAGTCTAGTCATAGTCTAGTCTATAGTCTAGTCTATAG